ATAGATACGCATGTCACATTGCCGCGCGGGTGCAAGCAGATGGCGTCGTAGTGGCGCGTCGATTTGTCTTACTCCGCTGCGGTGGCTGTGGGATGGCCAGACTTTTTTAAGTTGAAGAGCTGGGCGGCCGGGAACGGTTACCACCCATTGTGGTTAGTCGGGAACGTTAGCAGTCGGAGAGCAGACTGTTCGTCAGTCAAGAGCACACAACTGCGTAGACTGAATTAACACATACGGTCGGCCGGCCAAGAAGTCGGCTGGCTACACTGCGATCGGTCGAAACCAGCTTGCCGAGAATGGTGCAACACACAACGATCGGTCAATAACGGTGCAGTGGGTTACTAGATTGCAGACAGACGAGCCGACAATTCGAAGCCGTGCAGGTGTCAGGCACGAGCAGACAAATGCAAAACTGTGGGCAGTCTGAGGTTCAGGCGTTGAAGACCGGTTAAGGTACACCGGCATCAGTGGTCGATGATGAGCCAGACTGCAGTGAGATGGATGCAGGGTGCCAGCAACTGTGAATCCACCACGATCGATCGTCAAATAATCATAGGGGGAAGCACAAGCCGCTGCGAGCCGGACAATGATACAGTTGATCACACCGTAGTCGGTCGACGGCGTCGTCAGTCGTTGTTCTCAAACGTCTGAAAAACCAATGAAACGCACAATGTGGGCGGCCTACACGTGATATTAGCAGAGTCAGACTGCATGAACGATTAATGCATATTTGTTCTGGTCTGTTGGAAACAGAACAGAAGTGGGCAACCAGGCTGCGACCACACGGAGAGCGAGGCTACCGGGGACAGTTTGACGCACTCAGCGGTCGGCGGGGATCGTAGCAGCCGGAAGGCTAAAATACTGGGCGAGTAAACACGTCGGTCGGGCCAACATAGCAGTCAAATAGCCAAACTGTTGAGTCGAAGATTCCGCCTGTCGAGACCGATGAAACAGTCTGTGAAACACTCCATGGGAGTGGTCGGAAGAGTAGCCAGGTCTCGGTGCCGGACTGGGCTAGTTGGAGCCGGACTGACAACAGCGACTAAAGAAACGGTAGTCAGTAAGAAATCTGGACTGCATTGGATGGTTAAACATCCCCCGCTCAGTTGTACACAGGTATCGTAAGCTGTATATAACGATAGGTAGTGATCATTCGAAGGCCGGATTATCGGTCGGACTCGGCGGTCGGTCCATAATATTAGTCGTCGAAGCATCCAACTACCAACACGGGCGGTCGAGACAAAATGCTAGTATTTGGGTGGTAAAACTATTGGGCACTATCAAAACAGCAGCCACGCATTTGTGGACGCGGCAGCTGGATCACATTGTTGCGTATGCGTCGGGACACCTGCACATACACTGTGAACACCCAGAAAACATGCATGTACGCTCCGGGAACGTGCAGTCAGGTCATCCGATAGCGTAATCAGCCACATAGCCAGACTAACGGAGCGATTAAGTATGTGAAGGGTGGGCGGTCGGAACGCATCGTAGAGAACGAGATGTCGCCACCACCGGCTCTACTGATAAACGCCTGTAGGGACGGGCCACGATCTATCGCCAGTCACTGCAGCGCAGCTGACTGGACCACTCTGTTCGACCAGCATCATGGAAATGGCAGTCTGGTGCTGCCGGTCCATCGGGAAGATGAACGATGGAGGTCTGAGCCAAAGGCGGTTACAGGAACGAGCACGTGACCGTCTACGATCGGTCATAACGGCTTACAAGACAGCCACCACCCCCAACGGCTGACCGTACTAGTTGACACACAGTGCGGCCGGTCGTACGCAATGAGTTCGATCGGAAACATCAGCAGCCGGTTCGCCACGACCCAATGCTGGGTAGCCATTCTGATAGACTCACGACTGAGGCGCAGTTCTGTCGCTCGGATACACATGTGGTCGGTAAGAGACGTCGGCATCCGGTTCGCCAGGACTGCAATACTGAGTAGCCAGTCTGATCGACTCACGATTGAGGCGCAGTTCTGTCGGTCGGATATACAATGTGGTCGGTAAGAAACGTCGGCAGCCGGTTCGCCAAGACTGCAATGCTGAGTAGCCATGGTCTGATGCTCATGATTGAGGCGCAGTTCTGTCGGTCGGATAAACAGTGTGGTCGGTAAAAACGTCGGCAGCCGGGTCGCCAGGACTGCAATACTGAGTAGCCAGTCTGATACGATTGAGGCGCAGTTCTGTCGGTCGGATATACAATGTGGTCGGTAAGAAGCGTCGGCAGCCGGGTCGCCAGGACTGCAATGCTGGGTAGCCAGTCTGATACTCATGATTGAGGCACAGTTCTGTCGGTCGATATACAATGTGGTCGGTAAGAAACGTCGGCAGCCGGTTCGCCAGGACTGCAATGCTGGGAAGCCAGTCTGATACTCATGATTGAGGCGCAGTTCTGTCGGTCGGAACCAGTGTAGTCTGTAAGAAACGTCGGCAGCCGGTTCGCTAGGACTGCAATGCTGAGTAGCCGGTCTGATAATCGCGATTGAGGCGCAGTGCTGTCGGTCGGATATACAATGTGGTCGGTAAGAAACGTCGGCAGCCGGTTCGCCAGGACTGCAATGCTGGGTAGCCAGTCTGATAGACTCACGATTGAGACAGTTCTGTCTGTCGGATAAACAGTGTGGTCTGTAAGAAAACGTCGGCAGCCGGTTCGCTAGGACTGCAATGCTGAGTAGCCGGTCTGACAAGACTCACGATTGGGGCGCAGTGCTGTCGGTCGGATATACATTCTGGTCGGTTAGAAACGTCGACAGCCGGTTCGCCAGGACTGCGAAGCGGAGTAGCCAGTCTGATACTCACGGTACGTCCGGAATACCCTGACGGAACGGCACCTGTTATGGCAGCATGGGAATTGCTGCTGAGTCCATAGTTGTCACCTCCGTCCACGCACTCAGACAAAACCCGCTTCCGGCAGCGCCGCCGAGCCGCCAGCCCGCGCTGGTTCGGCCATCCCGTGGCATAGCTGGACTACCGAGGACAATGAGACGCAGCCAGAGGCGGTGGTCGAAAACGCTAACAATCGGATGGACAGAGTTTACCAGTCGAACAGCCAGACTGACTAAACGATCAGCGTTTTTGCGGGCGCTAGAAACTTAGCAGTGGGGCTAGCAGACCGCCTCAGTTGCTGTGCAGATTGACGAACCCGGGTAGCTGCGTATATCCACTCGAACGTCACTTGGTCCGTCGTATAATTGAATCTCCCTTTTACCTGTGTCACAACTCACAACACATATAACCATATCTGTGTCACCTTTATTGTACTTATAAACCTTGGTTTGCCTTAGCCCATGATTTTATCCGTACCATGCCTACCATCTTTAATTAAGACTGTGTCCGTCATTGTGTGACCATGCCTGTAGATGTTTTATCAATAAACTAAACTAGACTACATTAAACACGTCGAAGCGGTCGATCGGAAACGTAAGCGGCCGCGTCGCAAGACTGCACCCCGTGGCATAGCCTGATGAGACGACAACGATTGAGCTCACTCAGACGGTGAAACGATCATAGTCTTGTCGCTAAACGGCATGGGTCGGGAGCCAGACTGTGGGAAACGATTAAGTACGCCCGGACGGTGATGGAAACGTTAGTATAGCAGTCACAATACGGACGGCGATTTGGAACGGCAGCGGTTGGGTGGCCAGGCCGCATTCAGCCGGATATCCGCGTTGACGAGAATGAGACTTGATCATTACGGCATTCCTTTCATGTACTCTTAGAAGCGCAAGATACCAAGCCAGTAAACAGCCGATTTGAATGACAACGAGCGAACTACATTAAGCCCTATCACGCGCGAAAGTACGATGCGAGACATCCGACTGACCCGTGCGGGCGACACTCGGCCTAAGCGTTCAAGCAGCTAAGACGCGTTGGCCTAGCCATTTAAGACGCCGAACTGGAAAATGGATCCAACTTCCAGCATCGCCTCTGCTGTCCGGGTAGTCGCGATCGCGTTCGCCGTCCAACAGCTGCCCGACAGCAGGATCATGCACATGGGATCAGTTACGGACTAAAAGTCTCCCGAGCGGCATTACCGACGAGTAAGGAACCACCGTCACTTACTGAAACACGCACCGATTCAGCAACCGAACTATCGAGATAGACGATTGCTGGTGCGAATACCGTGTGATCATTAGTGATACGGCAGACAAAGTGCCGGCCGAGATAGGTACAACTTAGCCCATTATCACCAAAACGCCTTTTTGGGCGAATAACGAGCGTATGAGAGAGTGAGCCCTGCACGTGCGGAATGCGAGCGGGTACTTCTAACTGGCTTGTGCACTGCACCCTACTAACCAGTCACTAGCAGTGTGCCAAATTTGTTGGCAATCAGCTCAGCCGTGCTCCAGAGATCTGGAAGCGGCACCCTACCGACCGGTCCGGAACCCATGGGAAAACATTGCCTGGTGGGTGCCTACTGCCTACCTACATGCCAAGTTTAAGCGAGACCGCGCCGGTGATTCCGAGTTATTGTGATGGGAACAAATTTGACACTTGTTCTTTGCATTATGCACGTGCAGTGGGGGACCCACACGCATCGACAGTGTCCGATCTTTGGCAGAAAGTACGGAACTTCCTGACAGAATTACCGCATGTCAATCGCCCCAGCGGCTGCCGAGATATATGCCTCTCAGAATCGTTACAGGCCGGGCCGGGCCAGCCGGATCGCTCATACTGAGATTTCCGTCATGTTGAAAGACTCGTTTCGCGCTCGCTCGTAATAAAGGATGACGCTTGCCACCGCGGTGCGCCGGACCCTTGGCGCTGCCTAAAGGCGGTACTATCCTGATCGTGTAGTCATCGTGTAGCAGCGTTCGTACGGTTCGCAAGTCGGTGCGTTAAGGGGCATCCCACGATACATATGAGTACCTCATGCTCGATCGTAGCATCAGCAGCTGTTCAACACGCTGCAGTCAACCGGGTCGCCAGGTTGACTCACAGCATAGCAACACTAACGGTCGGGCCGGCGGATCGGCCAGCCGGGGACGGTACCTTTATGGCAGCAGAGTCCATCAGCCGTTTCCTCGCTCCAGACACCCGTAGCGGTGCGATAGGTGAAGCACACACGATACCTGTGACGGCAGCAGGTTCTATCCATCGTCCCGTCACCTCCGACGTTGATAATCACTGCACTGCAAGAAAACGTGCTCGGCAGCGACCGCTGCTGGTCCGCTTCACTCGCCCGGGCCGCGTTGAGTGGACCTCAGCCGTCCCGCTCACGGCGGCCCGCTGGTGACGTCACGAACCCTCCGGCGAGGTCAGGTCGGAACACCGCTCGACAGTGCCGGCCGGCGCGGCTCTAGAGGCCAACCGCGGATACGCGTTTGAGCAAGGATGCGGCGTTACCATTAACTGGCATATGAGAGGTAAGGTGGGCAACTCCACATCCTAGAATTCTCAACACTTCCCTGGACAATTTCCCCGTCCTTGGACGCAAAGAAAGTTTTAAAAACGTTTCTCTTTCAATTTTGTCCAGCGTCGGAACAGCGATCAAAGTTCAGCACCTCAGAGTCCACACGGCGTGACCCCCGCGACGTTAATTATTTTCAACGCTCGTCGAAGCGACGACAAATGGTCGTTTCTACTACGGGCATTTCTGCGTTTACACAAGAAAAAGCGCTATTATTTCAGCATAAAGAACGAAGCCTTGTTCGGAAAGCGGCCGTCGCCAGTGCAAACAGGTCGCTCGCGGCCTGTGAGGCCCGCAGTCAACAAACCGCCGCCCGTCGGCGCCCCACTGCGGGGCCGCGTCGGCCACGACGCTCTGACGACGCGGACGACGATCGAGGGAGCGACCGCGGCGACCGTGGCGAGTGGAGGACATAGCGAGCCACTCCGCCGCCGGAGATAAGAACTAGAGCTCTCTTATTGATTGGTCAGCGAGAGGAGGTGGTCATAGACGGGCGCTGCGGCAGTCGGCGGCGGTAGCGGCGGCGCTGCGGCACTCGGCGGCGGCGGACCCGCGCGGTATGCGGTGGTGGCGGCGGTAGCGGCGGCGGCGGCGGCGGCGGCGGCAGCAGAGAATTATGATGTCTGACTAGTACGGCAGATCAATACCGGTACCTGGTTCGGGCAGGGCGGCAGCCCGCTCCCCACCGCCGCCGCCGCCACCGCCGCCCCCCGGTCATCGGACCGAGCGCCTCCCCGGGGAAAACTCTGGTCAACAGTGGGCCCGGCTGGCTCTCGTATTCAGTGGTTACGGCCCTCCGAACGATCAGTTACTCCAGCATAAGTGATTTGCTGTTGTGGGACGCCGTTGTGTCGTTACATAATGCTGGTAGCAGTAGAATGTGCACGGTGTCAAGCGAAGGTCAACACGGAAGTTCTGTATAGTAAAGTATCAATGCAGAGTGTTGAAGCTGTTTCATTTAGCAGGGCTGCGCGATGAAAGGTCGTTGAATGTTAGTGTCACTCCTGGGTGATTGCAAAAACAATATTTGTTGCGAGGCCCTCAGAAAATGATTAAAGTACATTCAATTCGTTCAGAAAGTAACAACGCGCACTTTCTACTAAAGCAACTGAGGAAATCACATCTTGTGCCGCATTTTCAGTGCTGGGCCTCTTTCCACCGAACGGACCAGGCCAGACCCATAGCTGTGAGGTCTGGCGACCTCTGCCACAGGAGCCAGGCTCGTAAAATGCCGAAGTTTGTCAGCTGGTGGCGAATGCGACGCACCGCCGTGCCTGGCACCAGCGGCGTCTTCGAGCGGTGACGAATGGTGGCGCATTCAATAAAAATGAATTTAAAAGTGGCGCACTCAGTAAAATCTGTCTAGAATTGTGTTGAGTAATATCAGTGCTGGTATTGGCATAGCGCAAAGTAAAATTACATAAAATGCACGCCAAATGTGTAGTGATGTATAAGCTACCGATAGATATAAAACAACCGGAATGAAGAAAATTAAATAGGCGTCTTGAAAGCTTATTTATTTACTGTTATTTGATTCATGATCGCTGTAAACAAATTTAATTATGTTTTGGAGGATTTAAGTTCCAAAAGTTATTGAAAGCAAAGGTGAAAAAGTAGTATTGTACCTAAATTCCTTTACTGCAAGGTACCTAAATTCCTTTATTGAGGGCTTGTGTTCAAAGTTTTAGCATTCTTCTCTCGTATGGTTCTAAGTCAAATGAAGAGAGTCCACCGCCACACCGCCAGACGTGCCCGGGGGTCAGATCTGGGCACACCACACCTAATGAGCCACGCCGCTGGTGGGCGCAGGCTCCGGTCATCTCGACGCGTAATCAAATCGAGGCGTATGACCACCGAATTGGGCCCGGCCCGTGCGCGCACGCAATTGGGACATTGGCGTGGGATGGGAGAGGAGCTGCCGCCCACCGCTCGGGCGGGGGCGGCGGCGGCGGACCGGGTATACAGCCGCCCTGAGATGGAAAGTCGACTTTCTCCAAATTTACCGTCAGCCGAAGCAGGCTTCTTGATTGCAAATTAGAAAGGAAAAGCTTTTGTGGATCATATGGCCAGGACCCGTGTGGATGCCCAACTGAATTCCTCGGTGACATTTGTTTGTGTCTCAACTCTCAACCCAGTTCCTCACTTTCATGTGGCTGGGAATGTATAAAATTCTTGCAAGTTCATTTTGCTGCATTAATATGACAATCAACCAAATTAACTAATGAGGATATTTCGCAGTAATAGGACAGTGCACGCCACGAGAACGTAATCAAGGACTGCTCAACTTTGCATATGATGTCCAAATTACATGTTGCATTACATACCCAGTAGCATCCTCACTTCATGGTGATTGCTGCCTGCAACGGCCAACTGTCATAGTGACATAAATGCTTCCATTATTTAATTCCCAATTTCATAACCGTGTACGTGTCCCCGTTATCATTGTAACATAACATTTAGTAGCATCTTTGTGCGATCATCAAGACGACAAGTCTTAAACGTTTTTTTTTTGCCTGAGACTTACATCGAAGAATAGCAAAGAGAAAAGAAATAAGTAAGTCCAGCTTTGTTTACTACACAGCTTATTCGGCTGTGGCTCTTTCAAAGGAATTATCATTCAATTGACACGAAAAGGCCAACCAAAGAAGATGGGATGCTTGTGTCGCTTGGCCATTGCGTTCCATATCAGCATGATTATATGAACTTATATGTGTTCTCCACCAAGATTTACCTGTATTTTCGTTGACTCGCATATGGAAAGAGAGGAGAGAGAGAAAGGTGGAAGGGGAAACTATCACCTAGGACCCTCCGGAACACAGACGGCATGGCGGTGGTCTCATCGACAGCTGCGCAAGCAGACTAACGGAACCAAATGGCACTATCGACAAAAAAAAAAACCAGCGCCGGTAAAAAATGCGTAATGGAGTGAAAAATGGCCCTGGCCGCGCCGGGCCGGGACATTTGGTAACAAGTAATTAGTGGGTATATTCATTAGGGTGGCGGGATGCGCGGCGCATGGCTACTGGAAATTGTGGGCCGCGGAGGCGGGGGAGGGACGGGAGGACGGCGTGTCCTCCCCGGGAGAGCGCGCGGGAGGAAACGTGACACAGTTCGGGGACCACCGCTGAAGGGGACCCGCTCGAGTGTCTCACTTAGGCCGAAATGACCTTTTTTTTCGTCTTAGCACAAAAACCACGTGGCTTCATCTTCAGTCATTTGCATTGACATGGAGGCGTTAGGTCACCTGCCTGCCTGAAAGGTTTTTTTTGAAGTTAGCATATGCCTGGCTGTATAATGTATTTTATTCTTTAAAAAATCAGCAACTCAATGTAGAGTAACATTTACGACGGAACAATTCACCAGTTCTCAATTTGAAGTCAGTGCCTTAATATTAAATGAATGACCATTGACCCAGCTTGCAAGCAAGCTTGTCCTGTTTTGGTCTCCTAATGCATCAGATTCGAACGAAACATCTAAAATATACAAATAATTGCACCATACCAGCCGGATATTATCACTTCATTTTCATCATTTTGGCCACATACGTGTAAGTAGTGGTGGCGTTGACATCAATGCAGACACCAAAACGGCTAACGTCACACCACGGTAACTGTGTCGAGATACATACTAGTCAGGTGCTGTAACTTTAATAACTGCCCACCAACATCGCATTTGCGCCACGTTTGTCTTCTGTGGGAGCACAACTTTGATGCCAAACGACGTGAATGGTACCAATTCGCTGACACTGCTGCGCGAAAGAACCGTATTTTGGTGAGAATGCTGGTACGGGGCCTGTGTTGAGGTTTGACAATTTACCCCGCTATGGGACAATGTGACAATTAACAGCTGGTATCTTACAGCAGGTGGATTAAATGAGCGCTTCATAAAGGAGCCACGGTACACTGCGCAGTGTTCACGAGTCTGTTGAATGTCGCCGTGAGTTCCGTGAACTCGGTCGCGGCTCGTTCGGGCCTGCTGAGAGACTGATATCTCACTGTGCAGACGGCATATGTCTCACCGCAAAGCCACAAATTCGGAGCGGTGAGAAATGCGTGAGCGTGTTTCCGACATTATTGTAGGTCGAGCGCCGCGGCGGGCAGACTCAAGTCGTTATTGATGTAATTTATGCAGCGAAACTAAGCCTATGTTTTATCGTAGCTACTCAGTAACAAGTCTATTCAGATGATTTGTATAGCTTCGAATTGTAGTTCGGAAGAAGCGTTTGGTTGAAATGGCCAAATGAGGAGCATTGTAAGGATTTGCGACGTGACTGACAGCTGATTACTTCAGCGGCCGTCATTACACGTCCGTCGACTCTTTGTCACACTTCGATGACAGAGGGCACACACACATTGCAGGCGAATCTTTAGCAGTAGTGCCGGAGCCCGCGCTTTAAGCTCAAACGATTTCTAGTTTCTGTTCAACGAATTTACACACCCATTCCTGAAATATCCAGTCGTTAATGTTTTTTCCCTCTACTTGCTTCTTCCGTTGCAATGTTTTTATTGAATTTATCCTCAACATGACATTGAAACTCTCGAATTAGAGTAACTATCACACACCGGTGACATTAATTAAACATCAAAAGTAAGACATTATCAACCAGCTTATATCAATTCACAATCATAACCGTGGCGATTACGTTTAATTCGTTTAATAACGTACGTTTAATAGGTCACTTTTATTTTAGTTATTCGACAGCTTGTGTTGCTTCAGAAAATAAATGAAAAGTCGAACCGAATCTATGAAGACGTGATGTTCATGATCGCAAAAAAACGGGCTGACAACAGGGGATCAGCCGCCATACGAGCACAGATGAGCACCAGAGAGATGTTGTAAAAGTGGAATTTGTGGCTTCTAATCTGCCGCAAATGGTTAGCAGCAATCACATCTCCGCAAGCACATCACTTTGCAGAACCTTGCAAGGAAGAGTAG